ACATACATAATATATATATAATACATACACACACACACACATATATATATATATAGATATATATTGGTTGTAATTTGAAGCTATTTACAAGGGTATTTATTTGTTGTAATTGATTTAAAATATGTCGTGTTTCAGAACGGTTCTATGATAACTCGATGCAGTGGATTCTTGACGCTCATTTTTTTAGATAGCGATACTGAACGAGATGCCGAACCATCGTTAGCAATTTCTGGCTCTTTACCGCGTAAACTGCCTGTAGACAGTGAACGTGAGTAGCCCGACGATGTCATTGATTTAGAATTAACACTCGAGGAGTCCAAACTTTCACCCGCGGACAAGCCATTGAAACTGGGCGATCCCATGCTACTGCTGGACCCGAGATCAAGGGTGGTTGAACTCCCTTGCAGGGGTATGCGTAGTAAAGGCTTCTTGGCCTTGGCTTCCTTCACAATGATCTGCTGTTCCAAACGCATTCGCGCGATGTCTTGTTGCGAGAGCGCCGAATTGACACTCAGAGTGCGTTCTGCCGGTCGACTGGGGTCGCCCTGCAGGCTGCTATTACTGGTACCCATGCTGTAGGTGCTAGTAGACCCGCCCATGAAGCTCTCTCGGATACTCCCCACACGCGAGGGTACGGACATGCCGGATAAAGTACTGGCACCACGAGCTATGGCAAACTTCTGAGTCATCGTATCCATCTCCTTCTTTAACCGATCCTCTTCACTGGTGGCCGAGGATTGGCGTGCTTTGTAGCATCGGTAGACGGTGTATGCGAGAAGGGGACAGAGCAGCAGCATGCATACCAGCCACAGCACCAGCGAGGCAATGGCTAGGTAGTCTGTTGATGAGCTGGAGGGGTTGGTGTTACTATCACTGGCACTGTCCATGCCTGTCATTATCTTTCGGTCAGCATCATCTAGTGCGAGCGATGTGAAATCTGTATTGACCGATTTAGGGTTTAGGGTTTAGTTCATGGGATATGGAATGGGAAGAGGATCAGGGTCAGGGCTCGTTTGGCGCACAATGCATAAGGTGATGAAACATTGGCTAACGAACCAAGAAATATGAGTGAAGGTTCTGGTACATTTCAGAAATATACGTATTTGTGCGGTATAAGATATCGAGATGTCCTATGAGTGGCTGTGCACTTGCTATCACAAACATATTCATTCTGCCCGTTTATGTTGCATGTACATGAATGATATGGCGCGACGAACAAGGTACTGGTAATTAGCAATTGAGCTACTACATTTGAGGCAAAGGTACAATTACATATAGATATGCATACATATATGCATACTGTATAAATATATATATATATATATATATATATTTATTAATATATATAAATATGTATACAATATACACACAATATATATATATATATACATATACATATTATTTTCTATATAGTACTATATATATATATATATATATATATATCTATATTCCTATATACTACTTACGTAGTAACGAATACTTGATGATACTCATCTTCATCATTTGGGGTTTGGTCAGGTTGTATATCGTCGTCAGTGCATCGTCAGTCATTCGCACCTAAGATAAAACACAATATGCTTCAGATTTGGTGTACGATTTCGGAAGGCTACGATACAGTATAGGTTTAGCGTTCACATACCCAAACGTACAAACACGTACCGCGACATTACCAGACGGACTCCATGACATATATTCCGGTGAAAATCAGGGAAGAAATTCGCTGATTTGTATCTGAAAGTGTACAACGCAATTAAAAAGTTTGTATAGATAAACGATGCCACACAAAACGAATAGCGCCATCGACAATGATGCCAGTAGTTGTGAATAGAAATTGGTTACAGTTTACAACCATTAGCGGAAACGGTTGCGAATATATATGTATATAAATTCATAAATTCTTATTTACATACATATGCATATATTTATATATATAAATATATATATATATATAAATATATATATATATATACATATATATATATATAAATATAAATATGTATACATATATACGTACATAATATGCATATATGTACACGCGCACATACTCACACGCACACACACGCACACGCACACACACACATATATATATATTCATACATATACATATGCTTACTTGTACTCAAACTTATATTTGTAGATATGCTCATACTCTTACCTACATTCACTTATACTTCTACATAATAGAGAGATATATATATATGTATATATATATATACATCCATATATATATATATATATACATATATAAATATATATATGTATATATATATAAATATATAAATATACATACATATACATACGCACACACACACACACATATATTTATATACATAAAAACACACACACACACACACACACATATATATATACATGCGTTTTTTATACATAGTACAGTACATACCAGAAGGAGGGTATTGGCCCCGCGTATCCGAACCGACAACACGTTTAATTTAGTTGATAATTGTGGCACTATCGTATCCCACGTGGTTAGGCTCGTCTGCTCGTAGAGTTCGCGCGGGCCGTACATTAAGAAATATACCTCTACATCAATATGAAAGTAATCATATTCGTTGTTAGTGAGAAGTTCATTGGCTATGACCCCGATATTCGGGGACACCCATCCGCATACGTAAAGTATGAGAACAGTTGTACGCCGCCAGGATGTAGGTAGCTCATTGGTGATGAATCAACTGCGGCGAGTATTTTGAATCCGCTTGATGAAAACCCAGGGATGTATCATAGCAACACGCCACAGACATCCAACGAAGGACGTGCAGACCACAATTGTATATACCAGTTGGTGCAGTAGGCATCAGCCAAACTTGGATATACTTTGTTAACACAGTGAGAATCTGGCACACTTCTATACAGAGCAACTGGTGTATGAAGGCTCAATTGGTATGACGATACACAAGCATGTAGGGGTGAGCGCGCCAGTGATACCAGTTTCTACTCAGTTTGAAAAGTACGACGAGAGTTACATTGATAAATCACAAGTTTGTATATATTTGTAGGCCGGGGTGTCCATACATACTTAAAACAAGTAAGCAAGACGACTTCTACTTCATGTTAGGGTTTCTAAAGGATTGGTTTTATTGGTTTGATTACAGAGCGGTTACCATGTATCCAACGAAGCAGAGGTGATCATTCGAACAAAGTCCAAACATCACATTTAATCAAATCAATCAATCTGAACCCACATACATGTCGGTCAAAACAAACAATTGTATATATATATAATATATGTATATATTGAAATACACTTCAAGTATGATTCTCTATTGGAAAATGAGTTTAAACTATACTCGAATCAGCAATATTCAAGTATGATTTTCGATCAGCAATAATAATAGAAATAGAAATAAAAATAAAAATTATATATATGTATATATATATATATATATATATCAATCACAAATACAGTTCAAGTATGATTGTCTGTGGGAATATGAGTTTGAAATTTACTCCAAGAAAGTACGTAAAATATAATCATATACATTACGCTCCAATGGTGAGCATGGATAGGTAAGCTGATATGATCACATAATCAATTTATATAAACAGATATATATACATATACATATTCATACTACATATTAAAAATAACTTACATACACACACACACACACATACATATACTTCTACTTATATATATATGCACACACACAAACCCCTATAATCACAAACACAAATAGACACATACATATACCCACACACCTACATATATACATACATATATACGTACATACATACATATATACATACACACACACACACGCACACACACACACATATATATATAGACATAAACATAAACAT